CGACCTTTTACAGCACTATATTGGAAATATTTCGGAAAATCAACTGTAGTAATACAAAGAGCAAATCAATCATCACAGTTAGGCCTAATAATTCTGAACGCTAGAATGATTCCCTAGGTTTTTGGGATCGATTCGGAACAATCCGGGTAGCGTTCCAACGCGTTTCATTCAGGCTTGCTGAAACTCCTCAAACTCACTGGAGGTTTTAAAACACTCTTGTCCTGCGAGTTTAGCTAGCCCTCACCTCAAATGAGTGGCGGCAGGAATATGGAAGAAGTAAACAGTAACTTCTCGAGATACAGGGAGAGTGAAATTCACCGAGAGAATGATTTGACGTGAGGTGCGCTTTTCGAGACTCTGGATGACTTTTTTGTTCGACGCAAGGAGCTCAGAGTTCACCCTGAGTGAGAGTAAAGCTGGGTTTAGACTAGGCAAGTCAAATGATCAACTCAGTTGAATTCAATTGGCTTGAAAAGTTGAGCCTGGTTCAACTTTTTTCAATTCATGTGAGTTGATCAAGTCAGTTGAATGGCATGGTTTACACGTTCAATTCGCGTTCAAGTCAGCTGAATTCAACTGACTTGATCAATTGACTTACCCTGTCTAAACCCAGCTTAAGAGCGTGTGATACACCGAAAATAGTTTTCATGCAGCTTCCATTGGAAACGCAAATGATTTTCAACCATAAAAAAATAATGGAATTCATCTCAATTTAATGCGATAACGTTAATTTTATATGATTTTTCATATGAATTTCATCGTCCTCATAATATTCATGTGATTTTGTGGTGGAATTTTTAGCTATGTGATCACATGAAAGTTACGTGAAATTCACATGGTTTTCATGCATATGTGATAAATTTTTTGAGTGATTTTATCCCCCTTCGTTCACAAGCTCTGAAGCTCAGTGGAATGATTTAGCAGTAGGCATTCTACTCATCAGAAAAATGCTACGCTCGGCTCATTTCAAACTCGCGTGCAATAAAAAATAGAATCTAGTGTCCGATTGGACCGAAAAAGATATAGGGGAAATGGATGTTATGTCGGCCTAAATGCCCCTAATTTGGGCCCATACATAAATTCAGCAATCGACTAAATTTTCAATAGCGACCAAAAATATTCATTAGTACCGCCCTAATGACGCGTTCATCTAGATAAAATTGATGAATATATAGCATATTTTTAGCGATAGACCCAATCTTAGATCCATAGGCCAACATTAGAGCCATTGGAGTTATTCGGTATGAAACAAAAGAAAAACAACTAGGGGAAATGTTGGCTCCGGCAATACCTTAACCTATTATCGTCAGGGGGTAAAAAACGTTATTGAGAGCTCAATTTTAGCATGTGGATACATTATGTTACGATAATAGGTTAAGGTATTGCCGAAGCCAAAGTTTCCCCTACCTCCGTTGGCATTCGTTGATTGAATGTTATCCCTCGTGGCGAAAATAAGAACTATCGAAATTATGATGGTTTCAAAATTCCTTCACGATGAGGATAGAGAATTTTTTAAATGTTTGTATTTTATTACCTAAGCATTTTAATTAAATGTGGTTTTTGTTACAGGGATAAAAAAAAGTTAAAATCTATCTATCCATGCGAAAATGGAAGAAAACAAATTATGCGTCTATCGGGTAGCCCTTGGAGTTTTTCCCCCGTAGTAACAACCAAATTTAACTCAAATGCTTAGTATTTTTTTCCTGTGGAAAACCTCAAAAGTCTGTCGGAAAATGAGGAAAATTTACGAAAATTTTACTCAGTCTAGGAATAGTACCAATAGACTGAAAGAATCCAATCTTTACTTTTTTCATATTCGTAGGACTACGTCTTTAATTTCTATACTGGGGGTCACATTAAAAAAAAAATCAAAATTCAGACATGTAACGAAAAATCCCAAACACGGACGCAACGATAGAGCGCAAATCGAACAAACGACACATTGCGCATGTTCACATGAGCGAGCTCAATGCTCGGTTGATCGCTCACCATTTCACCAATCAACAGAAAGGGAGGAGAAAAGGAGCGATAGTAAAATCGCTTGCCAAAACGTTTTTTTTCGTCATTTGCTTTAGAGCAACGGACGGATACGCGTCGAACACGACGTATGAGTGGAACAGCACGCATCGTACCAATACGAAGACGACGCAGTGTTGCAACATTATTTTCAATTACAATCTGTATTTACACCGTAAAAATCGTTTTAATCTGATCGTCGTAAATATACTTTGAGTTCATTTGAAGTTCAGAAATAGTTTGTTCATATTTAGTTTAGAATCTTGAAGAATTACTTCAGTTTGCTTTCTAAAGAACTAATCTATTCAAAAGACCTCGAAATCCTGAATTTTAATTTTTTTTTTGTGATTTGTATCTTTTCTAAAAGTCTAAAAATACAAAAAAAATCAAGTCCCAGTAATGAGAGACAAACCTGAAAAAAAATAATAAAGAAACAATCACGTTTTCGTTAAATTTGATTTTTTTATGTCCGAGGTTACGAAAATCTTTGTCAGGTCATTTGTTTTTTTTTTACCCAACAATTTTAAAAATGAAAAATAAGCATTAAAATTTTATGAAGTATTATTTGTTGCTCGACGTTTCATTTTCTCAAATTCTTCTTATCAAACCAAATTTTAACTTCATGTACTGTTGCTCGAACCTCAGCATTTTTTGTGATACGCTTTGGGATGGTTTCATCTGTATTTCTCTACTTGCAATCGTGTTCATACGTTTTGTCAACTTTATTGTATTTTGTCACAACACATAACTTTTATTTGGATGTTTAGTAGAACTGATATTGTTTTAGTTCGACTCACAAACTGTAAACCAGCTTGTGGGTTGTTAAAAGGGCTTGTTTACCGAATCGACAAATCAAAAACAAATCATAGTACCTGTCGCTATATGATATGGTTTAATTAACAATTAGAATGAAAAACTAACATCCCTTCTAACGAGCAATCAGAAATCAGAACATCTGAGCAAAATCCGTTCAAAATTAACGAAGATAATAAAATAAAAAGTGAAAATTGGGATTTGGTTCGGTGCTCGTACTTACTCAAAAGGAAGAAAGGATTATTTATGGATATTAAAAATATAATCCAGAGCTAAACATTCCACTTATTTGAAAAATATGTTATATGTGACATCACTGAGACGACGACGAAAGCACTCACATCGACTGGAGGAAAGGCTTCCCGAAATAGGCAGCACGACTAGGCCGCCATCATCCGGTTGGCATCGATTTGCGCTGGTGTGGCCACCATTTGAAAAACAACCGGCCCTTTTCAGGGCCACCAATTCAAAAACAGAAAGAGTTAAGAACTAAATGATCAACATTTTTGTTCCGTCCACTAGCGGTCCTACGTCAAGCTTCCATTCGTGCCCATAGGCACAGACCCTTCTACTTTTTTTTTCTGGAAAAACATAAGGCAAATTTACTCATCGCTGAGTATCTGTGTGTAAACTAAAAATTTGGGTTGATCCCATTGGCCGTGAACTTCTCTGATTTCTTTTCCGAAATTCACATACTGTGAAAATCCATAACTCGTGCATCGTAGAAAAACACTTTTTAGCAAAATATCTCAGGAAATTTTCACGGTAGAGGCAAATTGAAAAGAAAATCAGGGAAAACCATTTTCCTAGTGATGATTTTTTTTTTCATGTAATTTCGATTACGATTATGGTAGTCACTGAAAAAGTTTTCATATAGTTTCCATTTGGAACGCACATGATATTTTTCCAATAACAAAATTAATTATTTTTACTTGAAATTCACATAACATTCATATGATCACATGAATTCTATGTGATAAATCACATAAACTTCATTGGACACATAAGGTTTATGTGATTCCGTGGTGCGATTCCCAATTATGAGATCACATGAAAGTTATGTGACATTCTAATGTATATTTTCCATCGGAAATGTGATTTATTTTTTGAGTGTACTAACCTGATGATGAATAACGCAAGTATACCGGACATTTTGATTTATGGAACTTAATACTCTTTACGGCGCCTCTTTAAATAGCCTAAGGCTGAGAGCAAATATATCATATTAACAATATGATCCAATCATGCTTTTTTTCCAAATATTGCAATGGCGACCCGCAAAATATTGCTGCACGCACCATCTAGCGTTGAAAAAGGTCAGCAACAATCATTCAATTACAATCGAGGGGTGCGAATATAGCATTTATTACAAAAGTTAGAGTCACATTATTTTCATAAATTACATTGTGTATATTACTTTAAAATTTGTCAGACATGTCACTGTGGTCATCAAATAAAATAAATGCTGAAAAACATTCATTTGAAATATTAAACAAATTTTCATTTGGTTTACCCCTCGTGACGATAAACAAATATATTGGTAGCCTTTTTGGCCACAGAGGTGCTTTCATCGGTAAAAATTTGGTTCGCCAGCTAAGCGAAAGAGTGGATCATATTGTTAATATAATATATTTGCTGAGAGTCTATAGTAAAGCCATACAAAAAAAAACAAACATTCCATGCATTGGTATGCTCGAAAGCACAATCTTGCGTTCGATATTAAGTCACCAAAAACAAAAAAACATCATGCGATAATCAAATCTTATGCACTTTGACCATTCATGTTCACATTGCACAGTTGGCCAGGAATGCAACCCTGTTGGGAAAAATTAATTACTCCGAAACGAAGCATTTTTGGCTTGGTGTCTTCGGCGAAATGTTTCATTAGGTGATGAGTCATTAGACTAAACGCCATTGGGCCGAATTTTTCACTTTTGGGATTTTTAATTGTTCCGGTTTAAGAAAATAATGAGCTCCAAAAAAGAAGGTGCTTCCCACATATAAAAATTATAATATAAATATTCAGTTGAGGGTTATTACAAACACGGACAGTTAATATTTGTTAGCGATTATTTCACAGAGGGGATTATTGGCGCACTCACACAAAATCACACACACGTTTATATTATTTGTTTCATTGAACTGTTAAATCTACGTGTTGTCATTGTTACCTGATGCACGTTAACATTCGATGCAATCAAACATTGGCTAGTTGCAGGAGTAGAAGGATTGATACTAGTGTTGCTAGTGCTAGTAGACGAAAAACTACTGGTAGCAGTAGAGGTAGACGAAACGACGATGCCGCCGGAGGTGCTGGTAGCAGCGGATTCGCTACTCGTCACCGTTGTTACCTTGTTCGCCAATAGGCTCTTGATCAACGCCGACGGGTTGGTCGTAGTGGACGAAATCGTCCCAGACTGGTTCATAATGGTGGTGGTACCGGTAGCCTGTTGGGGCGGCTGAGGAGGTTGAGCTACCGTGCCTAGCGGTTGCGGCGAAATGGTGGTTTGGTTAACCACGATAACGTTGCTTTTCGGATCGCTCGCAGAGTTCGGATTCATCACCTGATGCAAGATTTGGCCAGGTTGGCTATGGGATGCCTGTTGCTGTAAGGGATATAAAGTTGATCATTGTAATGCTTCTTTATTGGTTTTTAGAGTCAGCGAATTTTAACCACTGTATTTGACGACATTTCAGCTAAAAAATAAAATATAACCATGGTTAAAAACCGCTACTCTAGATGAGCCAATGGAAATTTAAGAAAGAATAATCAGTGTACAAACAAAGATATAATGTTAAAACATTAATTTTGACAAACAAAGATCTAGCAAATGCTACACGGTTATTAGTAAAGCAATGACAAATCTTACACTAACATTCGCAGGATTTGTGGCCGCACTCTTGCCGGCCACTTGTGTCGTATAGAGTGGTCCGCTCGTACCAGCGCCCTTGCCCGATACCATCCCTGGTCCTCCACCGGCTAGTTTGGGTTGCACGAGCGTTTTATCAGGTGGTTGCTGCTGTTGCAGCGGACTGAGTGGAACAGACGAGGTGGGTTTTTGAATTACGGAATGCGGTTTAGCTAGCGGCTGTTGATGTTGTTTGGCTAGGGATGTTGGAGTTGATTTTGTCATCATGATTGGTTTGCCATCAACAGCTGTGTTCTGACCCGAGCTTATCGATTTGTTTTCACCGTGATTGTCTGTACTAATGTTTGTATTGCTATTATTGTTGTTGGTGGTGTTATTGTGTGTGTTCTCTACAGGTGAACTCTACCAAACGAGGGTTGCGTGTGACGGTTCAAGAATATAGTTAGCATTCAAACGGAAAATGAAAAGGAAAGTTTAGTATGACATATTAAATAAATTCAGTATCTATAGCTATGTCAACCCATTTATGGCGGGAATGAAATATTTTATTTGAAACATTCTAGAGATGCCGTAGCATCAGTCGCCAAAAATGGGTTTACAATTACAAGGAGCAAGCATATCCCTGAGGGGGGTGTGGGGGTGGTTTAGAATGTGTACGGCTCATACAGAAATACACAATTGCGTACGACAAACTAGAATGTTTTTTCAGGACAGAAAAATCCAATCATATTTGACTATATTGTGGTTCCTAGTCTAAAATATTTTAAACTTTGACTCAAGGGACCACAATATACTCAAATATGGTTGAAATTTTCTGTATATTTATGCTTATGCCCTAACACGTCACGTTTTTAGTTACCGTCAAACGGGATGACTCGCAACACTTTGCCATAGATTTAATGAGTGCCCAAATAAAAAATAGTATTGATATCAGTGGCGTTTCCTTAACCTCAATCTACCTGTGCACCAACTTTCAAAACATAAAAAAAATCCAAATATTGCTTGCAATGGATAGATATCGAGTAAACTAGAAGATTAAGTGTATGTTTCAACCGATTCGAGTATAAATATGGCATTAAATCTGATTTTGAAAGTTGGTGCACCGGTAAAAACTGAGGTTACGGGACGCCACTGATTGATATACAATAAAACTTACTGTTACAGTAACACAGAATACAATTGAATGGTCTTAAATTTTATTGTCAAATTTCCAGTACAAATAACATAAAAGATATGTTTATATATTTTTCTTTGACTCCTTATCGTTCCAAATTCAAATCAATGTACATTCATGTTTTAACCTTGGTGCTACTACAGTCAGAGCTAGTAAATATCACGGCTATCACTTGACGATGAGAAAACAGGTCCTCTCACTATCACGAGACGACACTACCTATCATTAGTTTTCTTGTCATTTTTCAATGAACCAGCAGTCATGAGAATAATTCTTATGCGGTTTTGACATCTACATTTCTAACTGATTTAGATGAATTTAAGCAAACTACCGTATGTAATCGGTAGAGTGGATATATCAGTGCTAACATTTGAAAACGGCGCAAAAGCCATTTGTAAACAAATGGTTTGTGGGCCCTTTACTCGCTACCCGAAGAACGCCCACGCAATCCAACAGCATCGTCAGGAAGGGGAAAATTTCCCCTACCCGATGTTGCTGTTGTATCGCGTGGGTGTACTTCAAGTTGTGAGTAAAGGGCCCACAAACCATTTGTTTACAAATGGCTTTTGTGCCGTTTTCAAATGTTAGCACTGATATTATTAAAATTTCCTCGGCACTACAAACTTTAATAGTATTAAATGAGCTAGTAATAACGATGATCACAACACTGTCACGTTCTGTCATGACAAAAAATTCGATGAGATTTTGAAGAAAATCTCTATCATCGTTTTCTCATCCAATGATAGTGACAGAAGTATCTCTGTAAATATCGCGTGAGATCTTTCATTGAAAATGACATTTGCCAGCCCTGACTACAGTAACTTGAGAGGGCATTTGAAACCTTTACACGTTTCAGCCAAAACGCGGCATTCACCTCAACGGCCAATTTGAAGTGAAAATTTGAATTCATTAACGAAATTCATAAAAGTAGTCTAATTTTACCTGGATGATGGATCATTCTCATCATCCGTGAGCATATCAAATTGATTGCTCAAAAGATTTTCATGATAAGGGGATCAAGAGATTGCCCTTTTCTTTTGCGTTTAGGTGCCAAGCCGGCAGAATAAGCTTCTCCAAATCGACTTCCAACCAGATTACTATAAGAGTCCGAAGGATTGAAGAGGAATTTTCCAACTCGATATACAAGCCGGATTACCCAAAGGGTCCAAAAAAGGATCGAAGAGGAATAAGAATCGAACAAGATTGAAAATTTGTAGGTAATAGGGGAAATGTATGTAATGTCGGCCTAAGTGTCCCTAATTTGGGCCCATACATAAATTCAGCAATCGACTAAATTTTCAATAGCAACCAAAAATATCCATTAGTACCGTCCCAATGACGTATTCAACTAGATACAATGGATAAATAGCAGATTATTAGCGATGGGGCCAATCTTAGATTCATAGGCCAACATTAGAGCCATTTCCCCTATTCAGCACTAAGAAGTGCTGTTTAAATTTGACGTAGTTTTGGGTAGTATGCGGCAAGAGAGCACGATGCGGACTGAAATGTTGTACAGTTAACTCACCCTAATGTGTAATTTAGCTGGTTCTTGTCAATCACGAATGATCAACTACAATCTGCTTTATCAAAGTTTGTTCAGTTTGTACCGAAATTTGTTTGGGCTATAGCTTGTTAGACATAGAACAGTTGAGTCGCAGAGAAAGTGAGCAAAAGGAAGTAATCAATTGTGCATCGTAAATTTGCTGTACTGTCAACTCAAATTTATTTGATGGTTATTTTGCCGTGCTTTACAATAATGCATTCAAATCGTAGACGATGCTGCCGAAGATTGCATCTGCCTAAACGCAGTCAACAGTGTAGTGCTGGGTGACTTCATTGCCTTTACCAGTCCTGGTGCACCGGGAAATATGCTGTAGAATCCTGGAAACCATGACGGAATCGATGAGCCTTGCAGTTGTATGTAATTCTTTCGTTTAGGTTGCCCTAGTTTCAGGTCAATTTCATACATCGGATCCAACTGCTGCGGAATCGATTTAATTGTTGCTGTGGCCATTTCCTGTAAACTGTTGGCAAATGTATGGCAATTGTTAGAGGACAATAAACGTCAATTTGTTACCTGGCCTCCAAAACCTTCTTGGTGACACCTTCTGCAGGAACTGGTACTAAACTGGCTTTGAGAGCAATTTCAGCAGTGCTTCGATCCAAACTGTTGATGGTATTAATTTCTTCGGTCGGAATATTCCTTGGTATCGGAATATCTCCTACGATACTAGTGATTTGTGCCGAGGGTGCAGCTCCAGGGAATAAAGTTGCAACTGTCCTCTCCGGATCGGCTACCAACGAAAGGCCTGCTTCTTCCAATTCCATTATTTCCGCCATCTTCAAAGCATTATCGAGCTCTTCCTCTGTTGGTGCAGTGTAGGTCCATTCTTGTGCTTCCTGATATCGTCGTCTAATATCGTCCCGTTCCTCCTTAGAATATGGTCTTCTACTGGCAATGTTGCTTTTTCGTTCCTCCAATATTCGTCGATATTCCTTATCAGCCTCTTTTCGTTGTTGATATGCATCTACTCTTTCTTGTCTAGCCTGTTCAAGAACCGAACGTTGCTGTGCATCTTGAGGCGATTCACCAGGGAATTCCGCTAAACCTTGAAGCGTTTGCACTAGCTTCGGTCTTGCCTTAAGCTCGAAAGGTTGTGCCTTTGCCAATCCCTCCGCAAGCTCTCGTTTTTCCAAGATGACACGATTCCATTCGCCTGCCACTTCTAGAAGTTGTCGCATCTTTGGACTTTGTGTAATCCCATACTTTGTCCGAAATTCTTCCATGTCGAGAGACGCATTTTCTTCTTGTTTATGCCGATCGTTCATTGATTTGACTTTAGACATGATAGCGGCTTTTCTTTGCTTCAGTTCTGACATGTCAGCACCCATACTCCGAAACCGCTGCAGATCGGCATTTATTTGGTACGCAAATTCCTTTGCCGCAGCTACCGAAGGTTCGTCGGGAAATTCGTAAACCTTTCGAGTTTTCGCTTCTTGTAGTGCTCGCATGGCATCAACTACTGGCGGAGGTAATGTTGGGCCCTCGGGGCTGTCCCCAGGATTTATTGCTGCCACTGATCTGACAAAGCCTTTTGCAATTCGAGCCTTACCCGGGTGCGCAACCGGTCTCTTTACAGATTTAGGTGCTGGTTGAGTTTCTGGAGAAGGAGCCCAATCTACAAACTGTATGTCACGCCCAGCTATATGAAAAACTTCGGCATCGGAATCTTCAGTGACTAAGCGCTGTTTAGCTGCAGTTCGTGGAAGTTGCGTAGGTGGTCTTCGTGCTGGAGTTTTGGGTAGCACTCCGCTCGCCGATGCTGGAGTGGTAGGAGCTGTGCTTGGTCGCGGAGTTATTGGAGCTGATTTTGGAGGACTTTGCCATGGAGGAGAAACTTGGCGTTGAGGAGTTGTTCTAACTGTCCGAGGTGGGAGTCTAGATGGGGGCGCTATTTTAGAAATTGGCGTTTTTCCTGACCGCATGAAACATGGCTTAGGAAGTAGAGAAGTAGATACTACACGAACTGGTGCGGAAATCCTTGATAAACCGATAGGAGCGTCTGGTCGTCTTGAGGGTCTAGGAATCGATGCTAGTACACTAGAAGACCCGGGAAGGGGAATTACTTTCTCCATGCTTGGAGAAGCATGTATTGGAGTACTTCGAACCGGGGGTTGAAACGGCTTCAAACTCGAGTGTGCGTGTGGATGGAAGTCAACCGGAGCACGAAGCTGACTTCCTGGTGTTTTGAACAGATTTAGAGGTTGCTGCTTGAGCCCTGCTTGCGGAGGTGGAATCCGGCCGGAAGGATTGAAACCACCTGGTGGACGAAGTCCTCTCGATTGACTAGGAATTTGCGATCGTGGCTGCAAGCCGCTGTCCCGAATGGGACTCTGCCGAAGTTGTCTTGGCGAAACAATTTCTTGAAATTGAGGATTCATTATGGTGGTATAAAATAGAAGAAGGCAGGTGTACGAGAGATTTCAAGCGTTCGGCACTGTCAAACTTTTCAAACTGATTGATCAAAAATCAAAAAACAGTTATGGCAGCCTACTACCAGTACCGGTGTTGTATTATAAAAGGGCAGCCACTTATTTAAAAGAAGAAAAATCACGTTTTTCTCAGTTTTTCCCGGTCGGCCGATATTTGTTATTTTTATGGAAAATAATTCGACGCAACTGACAGCCACAGCATGCTTTTAAAGCTGATAATCTGGCGCCAAATGCCATTTTTTCTCTGAATTGGCAATAGTTTTTCCAGTTTAATAGAAATAACTAATAGCATGTTCAGCTAGGGGTATTCCTTGGAGTATGCAGTATTAATATTCCTCGTAAATTAAATACTTGCTTGCCACACAATATACAAACTCATATTGGATGGCAGAAAGCTCTTAATTAATCTGTAGTTGAGGATCCCTCGTTTATCGCCTTTTGTGAACACTGGAGAAACGAATGACTTTTTCCATATATTCGGGAAAGATCCGGATGAAAGAGAACGGTTGAAAGCCAATGCCAACTGGTCATTATGTCAAATTAGGTGGAGCCATGAAAAACGACTTTTTATGCAAAATGGGCTTCCCCCCAGATAATACGTTATGTCTAAAGGGAAATCGAGAACATTTCCAACCTGAATAGTTCTTGAACCCTGCCGGAAATTGAATTCGCTGCCTTCCAGACAAACAGACATAGATAAAAGAGATGGTGGTGATAGCGTTTGTGAACGATGTTTGATAATCAAAATTGCACAGTTTTATGTCCGTTTGTCTGTGCTAAAACTGCGAGAAAACGGGGCAGTTTGCAGCCAAATGTCCCAATGCCAAGAAGTCATTTTTGAAGACAAGCAGGTAAAAAGGGCTGTGCTGTATTTTTACTATTGAAGATGTAAGAACCGATGAGTGGTTTCTTGATTCCGGTGCCACCAACCACATGGCACGTTCGAATCAACCTTTCGATAACGCGAATTCCATGGACCACAACGTCGGAACAGCAAACAACAGCAACATGAAGGCCATTGCAATGGGAATGGTTTCGATGAAAACTAAAGAAGGAAACGTGGAAGTTGTTAATGTGTTGAAAATTCCGAACCTAGCAACCAACCTGCTATCGGTAAGCACCATCTGTAAGCGGTGAGCTTGTCATTACCGGAGTTGAAGAATCATGTCAATCAACCGGAAAAATCGTTTCTGGTCAACAGCATCGAACTGTGGCACAGACGTCTTGGCCATTTGAATGAAGGAAGCTTGAAGAAACTCAAGTAAGTGGCTAGTGGGATCGAGTTCACGAATGAACCACTCGCCGATTGTGTCTCACAGGCAAGAAGGCACGATTTTTGTTTCCTACCAGTGGTTCAAGAGCGAAGGAACTACTAGAGCTGGTGCACTCCGACCTGCGTGGCCCTGTGGAGGTGCCATCGTTTGGAGGAAGTAGCTATAATTTTATCTTGAACGAAGCCATCATCGTCATTACATACTCACATCTGGAAAAATAAAGCTAACTATCACTTTCTCTCTCATTCAGCATCCGAAGGCTTTCTGCTCTTACAACTGAGTCAACTCGTTGAATTGTCCGCATTCACAAAAAACGAAGCCATCTTCTCATTAAATCGTCGTTAAACACTCAAACAAACATAAAACAAAAGCTACCCAAATCTTAAGTTTTTTTTTTAATTTTCATTACGGAAATCGAATGGCTATTAAGTAGCTTCCATTATATTTTATTTCGAAAATGCAGAATAATAATTATTGTAACTTTACTTTAATAATGTAATTTAATTTATAAAAAAAAAAACAAATTAACAAAAGCCCGAATCGGGAAAGCGACAAAGTGGACCGGTGCGAGCGCGCGCGATTGCACCGATCCACTTTGTCGCTTTTCCGAGCTTTTTCGGCCTTTTCTGTGATTCGGCCTTTCGTAGTAGTCCCGTCTACAAAAGTTCGAATTTAAATTCACCACATTACAAAACCCTCTTGCTCCTTGGAAATATTGCTATTTACTGTTATTGGATGTATTACGAACGCACGCTGCACTAACGACACGCACGCGTAGCACCAACCAATGCGCATTCATCATCCAACATTCGGTTAGTATTCAAACCTACTGGATTTAAAGGGAATTACTGCATCACTACTTACCGTTGACAATACCTTCTGGGAGGAAGCAGCTGCTCCGGGTGCCGGTTTCGGTCGTAGCTTGATACCTTCGTAGAAGTAGTTGTTACCCTCGATTCCGTTGCGTTCCGTTTTGATGAGCGTAGGCCCAACAGTTCCACCGAAGACAGTTCGCATGCATCGTGGAAAGTGGATCTGAGGAACAACGGCCTTCCGGCCGATCTTCCCATTAGCCGACAGATATAGCTTGTACACTTCGGCTTGTTCGATTTTGTTCGCCAGCGATGGGGTCGTTTCGAAGGTAGCTTTCAGCCAAGCGTATGCAAACTGTTCATTCTCCTGCGATTGCTGCTGCTGTGCATGTTTTGCTGCAACTGTGATTGGACCAGCTGTCGGGGATGGTGCTGGCGCTAATGAGGAGGAAATGGATTGAGCTGAAGCTAAAGTTGCCGGGAGGGATTTCTGGGGCGTTGCTGGGTCGTTGCGGCTAATTATGTTGATCGGTATTTGCGGAGATTGAGCACCGGGTGGACGAGTTACGCTGGTGACCTGGATATTGGACAGGATTGTAGATGTGGGAGCTGGCATGGTTGTTGGGTTTGGTTGCGAAATCGGTGGGGACGATGCAGATTTAGTGGGAAGAGGAATCTTCGGAATCTCCGGAATGGTTGGAATGCTCGGCACCGGAATTGAAGGTTGTTCTTTGTTATGCACTGTTAGTTGGGCCATGGTAGGTGCTTGAGGATGGAGAATCGGACCAGCATTTTGAAAGTGATTACCTGGATAGTAGCCTGCCATGTTTCCAGGAATGGTTTCAACGACTCTCATCAGAATGCATGCGTCTGGGCCGTAGCTTTGGGCTTCGACTGTTACGAGCGATACCAGGCTGTCAATGATACCCGTCACGTGCATCATGGCGTTGCACGGTTTTTCACCAATCGATGTTAGCGAGTAAATGCACTCCAAAGTGTAGATCAGCAGCATGATATCATTGAGCGAAAGAAAAAGACTTATTTGATTGTAAACCGACTGATTCAAACATAGGCTAAGATTATCTTCGTTACTTTCTTTCTGTGCGATTTTACTCAGCACTTCCAGGCAACTAATTATAACACCACGATCGGCCCCTTCCAATCCTTCCGACAGTGTCGACACTAGACATCTGGTCACTTCATCCATTTGAGGATCATTGATTTCGATTTCGTTTGCCACATTTCCTAGCATATCCAATCCCATATGGCACAAATTTCCCCAACGACTATTTGTGCACATTATCAGGAATCTTAGAAATTGTCTGTTGCAACCCAGGGCTGGTGTGTTTTCCTCATTAAAGCTGAGATTCCTGAATATGGAAGCGATCTGCAAAACCCTCTGACCGATATAGTCATTCGTACCCAGGCCGGGTCCAAGGCTGAGGAAAGACCTCAAGGTCGCCATATTGAGCATTCCGCACTCATCGTCGTCATCGATGCTTTTATTAAGATCTGGACTGTAAATACTCTTAATCAGCTCTGTTGGATCTCTTTCAACCTTTTGGAAGTAATCCTGATACGACAGCTCCAAAACCTGTGGTTTTTCAAACAACGAATCCCTCCAGAAACGATGCAAAGAATTTTTTCTTATATTGCCATAATACTCATCAAACATGTCACGAAGCGAGTAATGGTTGAAAACTCCACCATGAGCTAGTAATACGTCGATCATCTTCGGACAATTGTCCACCTTCAAGGTATGCTTGCTCTCATTCGACATCAGTGTGCAAACATTAATAGCAAAATCCTGCTCATTGGGCAGCGGGGACAACAGAGACAAAATCAGCTTATCGTATTCAGTTGGCTTGTACAAATCGCAGGACAAATTCAACGATCCCCGCATTGCCTCCGGCACTGTATGTTGGGCATGATTGTAAGATGCTGGAACTGCATGCAGCATCCTTGCCGACCACCTCCTATTGTGCCGCTTCTCATCGTCCTCTTCCTCCGTGGGATCTTTTTCCTCTCCGTGGAAGTTAACCCTCTCATATTTATCCAGATACCGAATATAAATTTGCTTGACTGCAATCTCATTATTCACACACCGTTTCGGTAGATTCAGCTCCTCAATAACTTCATCCCAATCTTCACGGGAATTTACCTTCAACCAGCCACCTCGTGCAATCACCACCGAATAGAGCCGATGCAGATCTACATCCCGACCGCCGATTTTCGGAGGACGCAGGAACGGAGTGCTGTAAAAATAAATATTTACTTTTTAACTCTAACCCAGCTGCCTGATCCCGGCAGTGATGGCTTCATCAACAAACAAGCTTTTCTCCGCTTGATTCCAAAACTCACCTATTTTTCTCGTGAAACATGTGCAGATCCTGCCAGAAGCTGGTTCGGTCCTTCTCGTACAGCAGCTTTCCCCGTGTGCGGGTTTTTCCACCGGTTTCCCTGCCCGGAGTGCCGCTGTTGCTGTTCTGATTCGAAAACGAATCGTCTTCATCCTGGCTGCGGCGTTCACTTTTAATTTTACTCTCTCCGTCGGCAGTCATCCCGATGGTCACCGAATTGCACACGGAACGATACGGGAATTGAGTATTTTCCCGGAAAATTGGCCGAAATAGAAGCCAATTCTATTTTTCTACAAGCGCGGCGTTCTTTTTTCCGAAATGTCGTCCCGAATGTGGTTCGGTACAGTGCTGCCATGAGAATATTATGTTATATGGTTGATGTGGCTGGATTGGAATTCAAATTTAGTTTAATGTGATATATTAAAAAAAAAACCTATTACCAAACTTTGTGTTCTATGTGATTTATGATATCCATACAACCTTACAAGAGATATTATTGAGACAAACGAAGTTATCGTAGACAATAATTAAGCAACATATTAATCATCTTTTCGCAGCATCATACGATTTGGCTGCACTGAAAATACGTTCCCGACACTCACGCATACATATCCAAAGTGCAACTAGCGGCTGACATGTTGTTTTGCTCAAAATGCATGTGAGTACCCATTTGTTTACATCCACGAACATACTGAGTTCTATGAAATCAGGATCTCACTTTCGAATTGAGCTCCAAGTTAAAATCGGTCACCGTGGCGCTGCAGTCTTAGCAGTGGTCTAAGACAAGACAGGACAACTGGTTTGCTTATATTCTTCTTTGCAGGTTCTACATTCGCTCCTGCAGCCCCTATTTGTTTGTTTATTTGGTTGTACTTCAACAGACCAGGTTTAGTCCAAATGATGGATTAAGCAATACTAGGAAACACTCAAGAAGTAACAAGCTGCACAGACCGTGAAGTCCAACATAATTCCTAATTCCTAATTCTTAAAAATATATCACGGAATCTCTGACGCAGCGCCTCGCGTGCCAAGGGAAAATCAAATAAGGAAGCAACTTGCTTGAAACCCAACCCAGTGGCAGGCACGTAGGCAACATGTTATACGGTGACAGTGGGCCCAGCACAGCAAAATAAATGATTTGAGCCCGGAACATTCTGCCTACTGTCAAACACTGCTGTTGGTATAGGCCTTATCACTGGCTTGTTGAAACCCCTTTGTAACCCATTGATAGCACCATACAAACTATAGTTTGTACGACGAAAAGGTATCCTCAGCATTGCGTTGTTACGGAGTGCTCGTGGTTGAACGTTAACGTCGATTTGTTGTAGAATAGAAGGACAATCGATTCTGCCCTGTAGAATGTCTACCACATACAGGGCCCTTGTCGTAACTCTTTGACTCCACAAAGGATCCAGGTGAATAAACTTGCACCGACTTACGTAGCTTGGAAGGCGATGAGGATCCCTATAAGGCAATCGTCTAAGGGCAAACCTGATGAATCGTCGTTGAATAGACTCTACTCTTTGTACACTGTTTTGGTAATTGGGATCCTATACAGGGCAGCAGTATTCTATCACCGACCGGACAAGGGAGCAGTAAAGCGACTTAAATCAGTAGATGTCCGTGAAAATTTTAGCTATCCTGAAAATGAAGCCGAGCGTTCTGGATACCTTGTCGATCACGTACGAGATATGCTGACTTAGAGTTGACAATCTAAGATGACTTCCAGATCTTTAATGTGATTCACACGATGTACGTCAACGCCTTCTAGGATATAACTGAATGTAATTGGATGTTTCTTCCGTGAGAACGTGATTAATGAACATTTTGTTGGATATACAACCATGCGGTTCAGTTGGCACCAATTAGAAAAAGTGTTGAGTTGGAGTTGGAGAAGGTGGAAGTCAGCGATGGCTCGGATTCGGAGATAGATTTTCATGTCGTCTGTGAGCGACAGTTGTGGACCGTCGAGAATGAAATTGACGTCGTTGAAATACACAAGAAATATCAACGGGTCGAGGTGGCTACCTTGCGGAATACCCGAAGTGGCAGGGAACGAAGGAGATCGGCAGTCGTCGATTGCAACTTCTGTGAATTTCCACCTGGTTCAAAGGGGAATCCCCCAACGCTGTAGCTTGCAGCTAAATTATTACTTACCTATTGGAGCTCCTGGGAATGTGAGGCCAGGAGTCCTGGGTTGTCAAATATACGAAGCATAGACTACTTTGATTTTGTCGACTTAGAGTGTACGTCGACTTTAGTTCCGTATACATTTCTACCGAAGCATTAATACAGCTCATTTCACACTTTCTTAAGTTCATGACTGTATACCGCACATCTCCCCTCTACTCTGAGAAAAAATATTTCAGTTTATTTAAAGGCGTTTAAATTAGTAAGTATAATGTAATTAGAGATAATTCAAAATGTGAGGTACTTTGCTTTGCCGTGCGCTTTTATTCGTTCATATTTTTTTCCAGGGTGACGATGTTTCACCGTGGTTGCCACACATTATTTTCCCCGGGTGCTAACTTAAAAGTGTATGGAATTTCACCGTATACTCTTTAGAGGTAAATTCATATTTATATGGTCATTCTTATCTGCTTTCATGAACTTATGAATAAATAAGTCGAGATTTATAATTTAATTTTTCATGCATTATTTTCAGAATGAGAACCTTTTACTGAACAAAATGAAGTGATTTCATGTGTTCGCAACGTATTTACACTGTACAAGTCGCGTTATTCAACTTCACATTAGCAATGACGTCATTAGTCGTCGTTACATCTATAGTATTTTACCGTGTTTATGCACATACCTTTTTTTTGTGAATAATAATGACTGTGGGACGTACAAATTTCTTCAAAAAAAGTACACTCCGTCTCGCGTTCCGGCATTCCGTCTCGCGTGCGGACACTCCGTCTCATAGGATAATATAATTTTTGCGGACGTCCCGTCTCGCTTAAAATCTTGGTCATTCTAACTTTGATTTTTTTTTTCTTGCGGACATCCTGTCTCGCTATAGCCAACTTGAGCCTCTTCGTTAACTATCTTTTGCGGACATCCCGTCTCGCTATTACGATATTTCATTTTATTTATTTTTTTGCTGACTTTTGTTTCGTATTTTCCATGAAATTCAACTTTGCGGACATCCCGTCTCGCTGCCGGCATTTCAAAAGCGGACATCCTGTCTGGCTGCCGGTATTTCAAAGGCGGACATCCCGTCTCGCTGCCGGTATTTCAAAGGCGGACATCCTGTCTCGCTGTCATCGTTTCGGTAGCCTAGGGCCACTTTATGCTCTTTCAGAGCATGCCATCTTGATCTACAACCAAGCCTTGATGGCACGTTACCCCAAACTACTTGTATCACATACGTTTTCCTGGGGGATTCCCTTTGTTTTTTTTTTGATAGCCGAACGTTCTGAAATTTTAAAGAAAAAAATTTAAAATCTTAAACCTTTTTAATTAAAAACGACCTGGCAGGATCACCAATGTGAATTTCCACCTGGTTCAAAGGGGAATCCCCCAACGCTGTAGCTTGCAGCTAAATTATTACTTACCTATTGGAGCTCCTGGGAATGTGAGGCCAGGAGTCCTGGGTTGTCAAATATACGAAGCATAGACTACTTTGATTTTGTCGACTTAGAGTGTACGTCGACTTTAGTTCCGTATACATTTCTACCGAAGCATTAATACAGCTCATTTCACACTTTCTTAAGTTCATGACTGTATACCGCACAACTTCCAACTGACGATCAGATAGATAGGATGCGAGCCATCGTAGGAGACTGCCGTTTATACCGAGCCTATCCAGTTTGGCGATCGCTATAGGATGGTTCAACTTGTCGAAGGCGACTGATAGGTCAGTGTAGATGACATCTGTTTGCATATGGTCTGTCATACTCTCCGTAATGTACGAGGTGATACACGGAAGGTTGGAAGTAGTCGACCGCCCTGCACACTAATCCAGGCCTCCGTCGTTCGGTAAGTTTTGAACTACAGAACTTTTCGGTAAAAGTTTAAAAATCAGTGAAAAGTCCAATGTTTAATAAATTTAATCCGAGCTTGTACAGAATTTGTTCAGTTTGCTCCATTTATTCATGAAAAATAAAATTTATTCATTTTCTTGATTTCTCATGGGAAACGGTCATTGGAAAATTTTACCGACTTGTTCTGCTGTTCAAAAACCCGGTAAAATCCTACCTACTTCGGTGATCTGATTTAAGTGTGTGCCAAGAAACCATACTGGTCTTCGTTCAAGTGCTGCTGAAGTGAGAGACTAATGGTTCCATAACGACCAACTCAAACAGTTTAGATATGACACACAACGATGTGATGCTGCGACAGTTGTCGATGTTTATTTTGCATCCCTTCTAATGCACTGGAAACATCTCAGCTGATTTCCTGAAGGAAGGAAACACCCCACTGGATAGGGACATTTCAAACACGGTATAATAAATTACTCATTAATTAGTAGTGCCACTTTTATTGACAATGGGTTAACTTTAACTCATAAATAGGTGTTTGATTCTTACCGTGTACATGACAGTATACGCTAGTGTGTGTAAAATTATATTATTAGTGTAGTGTTCGTGAGATCCGGCTTGGAGAACTCAAAAGGAAGCGGAACACTTAGGGTTGATGCATATATTATGTCACGCTCTAAGCGGGAAAGGGGGTCCTCGGGGGGGTCTAATAATTTGTGACAAGCAATGCATTAGGTATAGGAAAAACGTGACGATAGGGGGACGGTGAGGGGTTGAATTTTTCCTCGATTTACACAGAAAAAAAAGTTGTTGAGTATTACATCCAAACTGTTGTGAAATATAACGTTTTAGGTACGATGTACATCGATTTTGCGAACAAAATTACATCCATTGATGTAATATTGTATCTGCTTTTTTCTATTACATCATCATTTCATTACATCATTATATTTCATTACATTGATCGATATTACATTTTTTTTTTGCTGTGTAGTGTGACTTATTCACTTTTCCTGATAAACTGATTCATCATGGATGCTCTGAAAAAGAATCATCCTAACCATCTCTAGACAACATGCTCGACAACATGTGCACTCTTGCTCTTACATTCTTCGAAGTCTTCACAATAATTCTCTTCCTCCGGCACCAAAATTAGCGTGAAAATGACATCCACCGACGCAAATTTTGACTGACAGCTCAAGCAGCTAAAACTATATGCCTTATTACCTTTGAGATAAAAATATGACTTTAGATAAGCTTGCCAAGAGATATTTTTTACAGTTGAACAATTTTCGATTCAATAATGTTTTTTAAAAATCCAAGTCAATTACAAAAAAA